GCTAACTCAATCAATTCCTTTCTTTTTCTTATTGCTAACTCAATCAATTCCTTACAATCGGCTCAAGGTTTTCTCAAAGTTATCCTCATCAATAGGATTCACTGGAGCATTATTTTCAATCTGAGTTATACTCTAGATTTCCTTTGAAAGCAAAACTTTAGATTGTTGGTGTTTTTTTCCCGATTTTTGTGTTGTTGTTTAAACAGGCCTCCTGTGACTAACAATTTCCTTCAAGTGTTAGACATTGGAGCATGTTTTTGTCTCCCTGAGGTATTATCTCCTTTTTGAAGTTCCATTTCTTTTCTCCTTAATTCATATCTCAACTAAATCCATCTAACCCTCATATGCAGGATCAATTTCGAACTTTTTCTGGTCGCTAACGCATGGAGGCTTTATGAGGATGGATGAACTAGTAAGTAACTACCACTGTTGTTGAGTTTTTTATCGGTTACTGACTTAATTATAATGGGCTGGTTTTGTTTGGTTTTTTCTTTGTCTATTTACAGATTCTATCAGCAGCTGATCTAGAATTCGAACAAAAGACATGCCTTGGTGATGCAAGGAATGGGAGAGGTGATATAAAGTTCACTTAGTCTTAGTGAAGTAAAATCAGACTACACCACTCCAGACAAATGGCCTTTACCGATCGAATTRCACAGCGYGCGCACGCACAATCATATCTTTTTTGATTACTGCTAACACATCATTTTTTTTTCGTTTTTTCTTTGCTAACTCAATCAATTCCTTTCTTTTTCTTATTGCTAACTCAATCAATTCCTTATAATCGGCTCGAGAATTGAGGAGGGTGATATGGAGGACGAATCTTCTCTGTTGAACAGTGAGTGAATGGATGTATTTTTTGAACATCCTCTGCCAAGGAAGCGCTATATGAATTGGTGATATAAAGTTCACTTAGTCTTAGTGAAGTAAAATCAGACTACACCACTCCAGACAAATGGCCTTTACCGATCGAATTACACAGCGTGCGCACGCACAATCATATCTTTTTTGATTACTGCTAACACATCATTTTTTTTTCGTTTTTTCTTTGCTAACTCAATCAATTCCTTTCTTTTTCTTATTGCTAACTCAATCAATTCCTTATAATCGGCTCGAGAATTGAGGAGGGTGATATGGAGGACGAATCTTCTCTGTTGAACAGTGAGTGAATGGATGTATTTTTTGAACATCCTCTGCCAAGGAAGCGCTATATGAATTGGTGAGAACAAAATGTTTGTGACTGTTGATTGAACAAAATGTTTCATGTAACTCGATAAGCACTAACATACATTTATGTTTGCAGGTAGAAGGTGTTCTAAGTTTTGAGTCAAACATGCCGATGGTTTTTTTGTTTCTTTTGGTTTCTCTATGAATCTTTTGGAGAGGAAAAATCAGAGGCTGTCTTGTTTAGGTCCATCTGAAGACCCTTTTGAGTCAAACACTCTGGTGGGGTTTTTTGTTTCTTTTGGTTTGAATAACAGATGTTGTCTTGTTTATGCCATTTTAACTCCATCTTTGACTCAATCAAAACACTTGATCCATATAAACTATTTTCAGTTATAATTAGATTCATAACTCAGGAGATCTATAAGGTGAAACTTGAAGGCATAAAAAAGAAGAACAAGTAGTACTTGGTACAACAAAATATCATATGTTGTTGGTGGATCCCTACATTTGAGCATTGTATTTACGAAGAGACAGAGCACTCTTTCCTCTTCAAAAACCTGTAGATCCAGTTGAAGCTAAGTGAATCCAATGCTTGCCGAGCCGAACCTAAACCCTCATCTAATGGCGCCGGAGGATCAATAGCATGTAATTCAGTATGACATCCCTTTACAGGCGACTATGACTTAGACTCAAGAGACTGCTGAAGGAACTTTGACCATCTCTGCTGTTATCTTTGACAATTTTTTTATGGAATTATCCATCCCAAGCTCTTCACGCACACCAAGTTCTGCAAATGTCTTCAGCACTGGAAATTATTGTCCCATTCATTATGTTATTGGCTTACTGCATAAGAAGAAAACATTAACAATGATGATGATTACAGCCACAGGTGCTGATGGACCATTGAATTCTTCAATAAACTGTCAAATCCAGAGGGGAATCCAATACAATAGTATCGAAAATGTGCTTGCCTACACCGTCGATGAATATGATAAGAGGGTAGGTTTACTATCTAACTGCTCTGATTTGAGTTTTTAAAGTCTGGTGCAGGTGCGATTTGAAGTTGCAAAGACACTCTTCTTTCTCTGTAGAACTGAAAACATTCATTTGATCTCTGGTCTATCCTTTTTTGCAGGTTCGGGTGACCAATTTTTCTGTTTACGACAGGGCAAATAGGAAAAGATAATACAATTGCAAGACATGGTATTCATGGAATCTATGGGTTATACAGTGTGAATATCCCTGCCTCCGCCCGGGAAATAACACCATATATCTAACCCAACCGCTTGCTACAAGTCCTTTTCAAGGACTCATGTATGATTATATTCGTCTCGAATGTCCTGATTCCGTAAATCATATCACTAGATCATAGAGCTGTTTTCAGTCTTTACCTTATAAGTTGATTAATATACAGATAGAAATATATCACATTCTTTCTCAATTGGTAATTTATGTCAAAAGTTTAAACTACTTTTTAGTCTAAGAGGGCTTGGAATCAAAACTACGTGAAAACTACAAGTCCTTAAACTAAACGATGTACCAGATCTGTAATTTAGAGCTTCTGCTTTCTACCAAGCAAGTATGGAAATAGATTCAGGGATCAAAATCGAGCTTGGGATGCCTCTCGAACCATTTCAGATTGAGCCGATTGAACTAACTAAAAAAAACTGTGGCAAGAGGACAAAAAAAGAGACAACATTGCTCTGTGCTTTCAAGTTTCAAAGCGTACTCAGCCAGGATGTAAGAACAAGTTGTGAAGTAATTAGAGCTCGGTTTTACGGCTCGACCCCAACAGCCAACTCCACAGTGAAGATAACTTACTTGACGTAGGGTCATCTAAATTAGCATTGCAGAGGTTGTCAAAAGCATGCTTGAGATGAGGGGTTACCACTTTGGCCTGCAAAATAAAAAGACAAAAGAGAGTCATGCCTGAGATGAGGATTTACGAAAGAAAATGTAAATATTTGTTAGGAAAATTCAGGGGGAAAGATGCAAAATACCTTGAAATCTTCAAGAGGACAGAAATCTTTTCCGCCACAACCCTATTGGAAGAAAAGGATTAACTTGTAAGGAGATTCGAGGAATCAGAAGAAGAGAATTGCAGAAAATGAGTTAATTCACCACTCATAATAGTGTAAGTTTTATTTCAAGTTCTATGTGGCCATTACGATAAAGCTAAACTGGGTTGCGTTTATTAATTAGGTTGAACTTACTGGAACTGCAATAGGATGTTCGTTGTGTAGAACTTGCACAAAGTACTTGGGCGAGGAATCTGCAGGACAACTGTAGAGGACAAGCATGTTGTTCCCACCAAAAGGAGCCATGGTGCTGCCTTTAAATTCCCTGGATTTCGGAGGCTGTGGAGGGAGTTCTAATGGTTTCTCCTTCTGTATCTTATCAAACTCTGTGAAACATTTCAAACGTCGGACTGAGTGGGATAATATGTTTCACAACAAACAAAAGCGGCAATATGAGAAATGAAAATTGATAGACTAACCAGATTCATCAAGGAATAGCCCAAGAAGACAAGAAAAGGGAACTATTGTTTCGGCATGTGCAAACCTAAGTCTCGCTTTTTCGTAACTTCCAGGTGGAAGCTTTTCTGCATGGTTATTAAACAGGACAAATAATTAAATCTGGCAACTAAGACGACGATAAAACCGTTCATTTCTTTTCCTGGCTGCAAGTTGACATTACCTTCTCGGGCCTTGATAGCTTCTTCCATCGAATGCAAAACATCTTCTAGCAATGGAAATCCCATTTTGTAGTTTAAGGAATTGCCGTAACCTTTGAGGATAAACACTTCCAAGTCATCTGTCCATTCCAGCAAAGCAACCTACAGATGATTATGTTACACATCACCAGCATTATAGCATGAACTCAATAAGCTTAAGAATATCTAGAGCAC